GAATTGTTAATCTGACTTGGCAATTGAACTAGCAGCTAGCATTGCAGCACTGTCAAGGGTGGCGAATAAGCCGGAGGATAAAATAAATTATAAAAGCTGCGCTTATGCAATGGCTTTGGGCTGCACTTGGCTAGTTATTCCTTCTGATATGTAGTTTTTTATTTGCTTTAGCCATTTTCTTATAATTCAGACTGTACTTTCCTGATTCTAGTTGCACAAGTATACTCTTGTTGTTAAAGTAATATATTTAAGGAAATTTTGATTTTTACCACCTTCAAATAACCACTTAATTGAATTTACCACCTCCAAAAAAAAAAGATTTACTTTACCACCAACAAAATTTCCAAAAAAATCGATTTTACCACCAACTAACGGATTCCGTCCACGAATCCGTTAGTAGGGCCCACCTTTTTGACGTTTCTTCTTCATCTTCCCCGATCTTCCGTGTAAACCAACCAGCAACGAAATCAACTACCTCGGTTGGTCGGAATTTCGTGTGTGACTAAGGAGGGGCCGGAATTTGGTGTGTGGGTTAGGGAGGTGGTCGGAATTAGGTGGTGGTTAGGGTTTTAGGAGTGCGAAATTTGGTGGTGGCTAGGGTTTTTAGAGTGGTCGGAATTAGAAGGGGATTTATGGGTGGTCGGGATTTGGTGGCTGCCAAAAACTAAGAAGCCAAATCACCAACAACAAGGATACAAATCGATTATCATCAACATTTCTACAAACCAAAGCAATTAATCCATTACAATACCCACAAATCGAAACCTCAAAACCAGAAAAAGAATTGGGTAAATCAAACCTTGTCAATCGTTTTTAGCATCAAGCTCAGAACCCCACTTCAATGGAGTCGATTCCAGGTGACTTCCATGGTTGAGGATAAGAAGACGACGGTCAGAGGAGAGAGAATGAGCAAGATGAAGTCTGATTAAATGGGTGCTGTTGATTGATTAAGGAATGGCAAGCCTTGGAAACGCATTTGAAGCGAAGTAGTGATTTAGTGGGTAATCGAAAAGAATGGAGGTGATTAACTCCATTGGAAGAGACGCCATTGTTGTGGCTGTCGAGAAAACAGAGCCAAAAAATAAATAAAAATTGGTGGAAAGGTGGTTGTGGCTGTGCGGTGCGGTGGTGGGGCTGGTCGTAGCGGTTAGGTGGTGGGGGCTGGTCGTAGCGGTTAGGTGGTGGGGGCTGGTCGTGGCCGGTCGGCGGTGGGGTCCTGACGGTGGCAGCAACACCGGTTGATTAATGGGGATTTTTTTAATTTTTTTTTAAAACTTACCCAATAATATGGCGACACGTGTGCAAGGTAGGCCCCACTAACGGATTTATGGACGGAATCCGTTAGTTGGAGGTGATTGGTGGTAAAACTGATGTTTTATTTTTTTATGAGGTGGTAAAGTAAATCTTTTTTTTTAGAGGTGGTAAATTCAATAAAGTCGTTATTTGAAGGTGGTAAAAATCAAAATTTCCTATATTAAATTTTGTGTAATTTAATATGATTACATGAAGAATTATATGGTTTGTTTTAAGTCTGGACTAATAATTAAGTCAAGTCATGAAATTTGGCCGGAAATATTTTTAAAGTCTGAACTAATAATTATATGTTATACCCAAATATTTTAAAAAGTATTCTAGGTCTAAAGATTTGAGTAACAAGGATGAAGGATAAGAAATCATCGAAATATTGTTTATCGTGTAAAAATGTATAATGTATGCAAGCTTGAATGTAGGAGCGGATTCAAAATTGCAAAAATGATGAATCCTATACTACTGCATGCTAATTTCCTTAAGGAGAACTATCAGTACATATTTATTAAATATGTGTGATTAACACACTTATTATATTTTAAAGTTCCTAATGACTATTATTCCATAACTAGGTTAAAATCCCGTGCAATTTGACAATAATATTACAAAATATAAAGTATATAAAAGAGGTTCAGAAATATTTCATTTGGGTATACATGGAATATGATTGTTAAACTGGAAAGAAAATATTGGTACACATAATTTACTAAAAGATTTTGCAAAAAAAAAAAAAAAAAAAAAAAAAAATCCTTAAGCACTAGGAGGGATGCAGCACAAGCGGAGCATGCTTGGTTGTAAATGCTCTTGACTAAAGGAATCGAATCGTTTTCGAGTAAAGAACTTTGAATACTCAAAGAACCTTGTTGATGATTGATTTATAAGATAATTTCCTACTTCATTCTTGCAATCAATGCCAGCAGGCAATGGAGGTAATGGTGGGGATAATAATGGCAATGACCTCTTCCATTCGAGGAACGTGTGGTGGTGGTGATGAGGTGGCTTACGGTGAGGGAGAAGGCCAGGTGTGGGTGTGGATGATTATCTTGGGCAAAGGATCCTCCTAAGAAAATAAGAAAAGAGCTAGTAAAGCAATGAATATAACTGCTGTCGTCATTGTTTTTTTTAGGGTTTTGGTTTTGTTTTCTTAATAAAGGGTATGATGTATGAAGGTTGACTTGTGTAATTTTTAAGTTGAGGTATAAGGCCAATAAAGGGGGTTTATATAGTTTTTTGAAGAGTTATAAATTAACTTGGACTCTCTAAAAATTGATAATATATTAAGAGATAAATTTTTTAAGAGTTGGTGTTTGATTCAACCTCTAACTCTTTATTATACAGGCGTTTTATTATAAGTAATGGTAATATCTAGATTATAGTTGTTTGTTATTTTGTGTACCAAACAAGAATTTCTATCAAATATTACTATGAATTAAGATATTAGCTTTAGAGATATATTAGTATAATTAGACTAGAATATTCTTTTTTTATCATAAAAAAAAAATCAGAGTTCTTATTGTGTCCTTGCATGGACTTCTAATTATCATCAAATGTTGGTTCAACAAAACATGACTTTTTTTTTACAAGAAAAAAAGGGATTTTAATTATTAAAATATTGTTTTGTTTGTATTTTTTAAAACAAATGTTTTTTATATTTGTGTGATAATTTTTTTTTTTTATTTTTTTTCACATTTAAAAGGTAAAAGATTTGTATAATTTTTTTTTTTTTCATAATCTCAAAAGATCTTATTCACCAATTTTGTTTATGTATGTGGCAAATGAATTATTTAATTTTATATTATTTAATTGACTATAACTAAAATTTATAATCCTACATAACGCGTTAAGAAATTTGTATCCAAGGTGGCTCTAAAACTCGGGAAAAAACTCATATACTCTTGACTGCTAATTTATGCAATCGATCACAGTAGTAGTTTATTTCTATATTTGATTTTAATATATATATATATATATATATATATATATATATATATATATATATATATATATATATATATATATATATATATATATATATATATTGGTTCAAACAATTACATTGTAAAATTTTTGGTCTAGTTAGAAAGTACGGAGTAATTTTGTACATCATATGATCGATTTAATTTTTATTTTTTTTGCTGTAGTATTTAGCTGAATCAATTTTTTTTATTAATTTTTTTTAATGAGAAGCTCCATGATAGAGAATTTTTTGAACAACTTGAATATTTAATTTTATGGCAATGTTTTCTAACCAGACACCGCAAAGCTATATGGAAATATAACAATAAGAATTAATAAACTTACGTAAATAAACTTTATTAATGATGATATCCAAACTATACTGCTAACCAGTACATATTTAAATATGTGATTACCACATTATTTCATTCTAAAGTTCCTAATGATGCATTATAAAAAAATACTCCGTACTAATAAAACTACTGTAACACTATTAAGTACTAAAAATAATTTCTTAAGCACTAGGCGTGGGTGCAGCCCCACCGGAGCATGCTTGGTTGTAAATACTCTGGACTAAGGGGCTCAGGTTGTTTTCGAGTAGCGAACAACATTCATCATTCAGGGAACCTTGATTAATCAGATAATTTCCAACTTCATTCTTGCAATCGATGCCAGCAGGCAATGGAGGCAATGGTGGTAAATCAGCTAATGGTGGCAATGCCCTCTTCCATCCAGGGAACATGTGGCGGTGGTGAGGCGGCTTAAGGTGAGGGTGAGGGTGAAGGTGTGGGTGAGTATGTGGGAGTAGGCGTGGCCCGTGCGGGTGTAAGAACACCTCTGGTTGCACTTCTTGGGCAAGGGTTCCTCCTAAGAAAAGAGCTAGTAAACTAATGAATATAATTGTCTTCATTGTTTTTGTAGGGTTTTTGTTTTGTTTACTCAACAATAATCAACAATAAAACAAAAGGGTTTAAGGGTTTGATTTGTGTAATTTTTGAGCATGAGGTAAAGGAATAATATAGATTTTTAAGGAGTGATTGTATAAACTTGGGACTCTCTAGATATTGATATTATTATGCTATAATTTAAGATAAATTTTCCTCAAAAAAAAAATTTAAGATAAATTTTATTTTTGGTAATTGGTATTTGATTCAATATCTAACTCTGATATTACATGTGTTTACAAATAAGCCAAATTTCAATATTAAAAACTTATGACAGTTCGATTTAAGTACAAAACCAGAATTTTATCCCTTAAAATACAGTATTAAAAAAAAAAAATAATAGCTTGTTATAGGCATAGAATATTGTTATCTATCAAAAAAGAAAATTATAATCTTCTCCTAACATTACTCTGATTATAATCAAACGTTCCTTTTCTTCAGCAGAACATTAATCTTTAGAAAAATCATTATCTTCAATTCTGTATATCCTAGCAAGTCAAAGACATTTAGAATTCTAGAAAAAGGCAACATCTAGGAAAACTAGGAAACTAAATCTGACCATATCAGAGTATATGAAAATATATCCTGAAATAAGAATATAATAATTCCTAATAATATGTCAATTTTGGGATGAGAAGAAGATGCTATTTGTGTATGAAGCAGATTTTGAATTAAACCATCGAAATGGTGTTTGCAACATCAAAAGTGTGCAGTAAGAAGGTTTTTCAGAAGTCACTTTAATACAAGAGCTCTGCAGGGTGTTCCGAAAGGTGCACCCATTTTTTTCTAAGATTAGTAGACAGCATAAAACTTGTTATTACATTCTAAGGTTAGTTAGACAGGACAAACTTTACACATATATTTGCAGAAGATTAATCAGATCAAGTATTTACAGATGCAACAGGTTCGATATCAAGTTCCAGCCCATCCATGTTTTCTTATCACAAGGTGACTTGAAATTAAGTTCAAACATCTCCCTTTTAAGTTGCTCACCGGATTCACAAAACCCAACAAGCTTTGCTACAATCTCCGCACTTTCTTGCACGTGCTGCAAGTTGTGAGGGTCAGTCCATAACTTGTTGACTAACTGCAACCTCCGTCTTTGCTTCCCTTCTGGTGGGATATCCCACTTTCTGTAGAGAGCTTCCCTTTCTTCTGGTGTTAATCTTGAACTAACCCTCTTTGCTAGGTTTTCCCTCTCTTGTTTAAGGGCCTTAATGCTGCAAGTAGTTCACACACCCATTATGGGTTATCACGGAAAACGTCTAAGCCGCTTATATACAATATTAAATAACTGACAAACTGAGACAGTACCTTGACGAAACATAGGAGGCTGGTTCATCACTTAAGAGAGCAGGGCTAGCATTTCCAAGATCTGACAAATGCTGTTCTAACCAAGTTAATCTTCGCAGCTCAACTTCCATGTATACCTGATCAGCAGGATCACCTCTAAATAACAGGAAAAACTGGGTGCGGTGCACCAGCGAGACATGGCACAGATGCCATAACATTACTATCTGCTTTCTTTGTTCCTCAAACATTGACAGCCAAGAAAAAGGAGATTGGTCAGCTTCACCATGTGAACTGGTTGTTGCTTCACCAGCCTCCAGATCCAGCACCTAGTTATCAACAAACAGATAACAAAAGATGTGTGAGAATTTAAGGACAAAGATTACAAGAGATTTTACATATTCATAAGCCTACAAGCTGCATATTAAATATTCTTTGGATAGAACGATGTAAGATTACTGTAAACGAGTGTCCTTTTAAAGGTATGAATTACTCAGGCAATAAGAAAACCTCTGACTTCCTATCTAGGACCATAAAACAACAAATATGTAGCCAAGATACTCTAATATCAAGGACCTCCAATGGTGATTGGTGATGTAGTTTTATCTGTATAGTAGCAACTATGCTAGAAGGCATGACATGATATGAAGTGGATAACCACAGCAAGCAAGCAGAACATTATCATTCTTGAGATCACATAAGTATAAGTATCCATCCATACAACAAGGGTCAATACCAGAATAAAAAGCCATGAAACAGTTGGATAGATCAATCAGAATTCTTACCTGACAAACCAGAAGCTGCTTTTGATACTGAAGCTTAGCAACTCTTTCCTTTAACTCAGTAACATATGACCTGATGTTACGTGCAGTCTCTTCAAGTGTATTATTGAACATTTTCTTCATTTTCTTTACATTAACTGAATTCGATTTCTGCCTTGCAGGAGTATTCTCCCTAGAGGAATGAGAATAACCAACTTGGTCACCTTTAAGAGGGGTGCTTTTGCAGGAATTCTGCAGACTATCATTAGTTGGCACAGTACTTTGGTTATCTGACATAGTATTACCTATCTCATCCATTACTCTCCGAGAAGAGGAAAGAGGAGAACATGGAGCCCTTATGAAGTTTGACATGTTTGGACTGTTGGTTAGGTTAAATGGGATACCCTTTTTCCTTTTAGATTGTGTCTTTGAATCTGGGGTATCCTCATTATTTCCCAAAGTAAATACCAACCTGTCCACAGAGTTCTGGACATTCTCAAGCTTCTTTTCTAAAGATTCAATTGTCTGCCCCTGCGAGTTCAGCCGGATGATTTCCTCTTTCAGGTCAGCTTTGTCCTTTACCATGATGTCTTCGGATATGGAATTGATAATTTGCATGTTTTTGATCTCAGAAAGTAGCTTTGCAACATTTTCAGCAGCATCTTGTGTCCCCAGTCTGTTACACGCAACTTCTTTTTGAAGTATGTCAAGAGCTTTATTTGCTTCATCACCAAGTCGTCTTTGCAGAACTTCAAGCTTCCGGATCTCTTGCACTAAGAGAGAAGGATCAGTGGATGTAACTGATTGCCTAAGCGTTGACTGCCTTCCAGCCTTATATCTTTCCTGGGTTTCAGATGCAAATTTGCTCGCAATTGTGTCTGATGGATAAGCGAGGCACTTTCTCACTTGATTAGATGGGCTGGAGTTACTTGATTCCTAAAATAGAAAAGAGGGATGAGCAAAAAGAAGAATATTGCAACTGAAAAGCACTGGAAATGGAGTGTCAAAATTCTTGGTTTACCTTCTTTTCCTTGCGTGTTCTTTCCAGTTCAAGTTGAGACTGTGCAAGATCTCTTTGTCGCTTAAGCTCTCCCATTTCCCTCTCCAACTATACATGATAACAAGGCTTTAGTCAGTCAATATAATTAAAGAGCAATCTCATTCTCCCTCACTCTTGTATTTTTTTATGGGTGGGGATCAGATAAGGTTGGGTTTGTGTTTCAAACTTCTGACTTCTGCTTAAAAAAGCAGCAGAGCAAACCTTTAATTTCAAGATTTTCAACACAGAAAAAAGGCTGAAATGGTTCTGTTTTCACGAGCTAAGAAACATACCTTTTGGATTTTTACGTTTTTCTCAATCAAAAGTGCCTTTAAAGCTGATGAAGATGAAGGTTCTGGACTTTTGAGCTCAGCTTCCAATCTAGAAACTTCCTGTTGTAAATGCTTAACCAACTGCTGGTCCGTAACAACCTGATCAGAGAATATTGCTTGCTTATTTGATAAAGATATTCAGATCATAAATCAAAAACAAAGCATAGAGGACCATGAAACCTATGCATGATATCAACTGCATTACAAAATAAAACAATAGACATGATATTATACTGTCAAAAGATTGTATGTAAAGACTATCTTACCACATTAACCCTAGTAGTGTTTGTAACCTCCTTTGCACTTGTTGCAAATAACAGTGTATTGCGTGATTGTTCTACATGACTCAATGCAGGACTTAAGGTACATATTATTGCAGTTCGTGCATTTCCTCCAAGTGAAGACTGCAATATTCGGGTAAGCTTTGATTCTCTGTATGGTATATGACCTGTCCTTTTTCCACTGCTGAAATGGATGCAAGACAGCAAAACAAATTAGCAGACTAAAAATCAATTCTTTAATAAAAATTTTAATATGCATTTGTTTAATGTGATAAACTACAATCTGATTGCCAGCCATTACAAATACTAACCCCAGTTTTCGGATAACTTGGGTGAGTGTCAACAAGCTGCGGTTTATATGACTTCCTTCCCTCAACCTTAAACCAGCACTTTTAGTTTGAGAGCCACGTTCACTACCAGCAAGGTCGACAAGATTCTGAAAATTTTGGTGTTTTGCAATAAGTATCTTTCAGTTGCAACAACCAAGACCAGAAGAGAGTAGGAAGCATGTACCAGGCTTGCTACGAAAGACTTCAGACGGCCTGCATTTTCCTTGAGGCGGCTCTCAATGGTCTAAATAAAAAATATATAGACAATGGCAAACATTGGAAAGTGACGCAGGTATGAGTGGTGTTTATAACCATCTTAATCAAATCAACAACTATCAAATCCTAAAAGTATGATAGATATTTTAGATTCAAGCTAGAAATTCAGCTTTGTTGATTCTTAGGAACAAAGTACAATAAAGCAGGTGCATATACCAGTCTCACTATCTGATGTGATCTTGAACTTTTATCATTCAAGGCTGTCTCCCCTACTTGCCTTTGAGCTGCAAAATTAGAGCAAAACATATGCTGGAACAATTAAACTCAGATAAGTTTGTTCAAATAAGCAAGAAATATATACCTTAATCTAGACTTGTTTGGTAAGCCTCAGAAGCTAACAACCTTTTTTTTTTTTTTAAAAAAAAAAAAATTATAATATCTTTAGAGAAACACTTGTAAAGCATAAACTACATCATTATGCATCCAGCAAACAACAATAAATCAAAGGGTGGCTCACATAATCTCATAAATTGCACGAAATAGTGCCTAATTTAGTAATATCTCCGATCAGATTCCTAGTATATAATTGTTCAAGTACACATTCTTTGAGGATTATCCAGAGATGGAATTTTAAGAAAGCTACCTTCACAGATGCCAATTAAATGCTTCAAATGCTGACTATCCTTTACAACTTCTTCAACTTGCTTTTCAACCATGGTTCCTTTCTGCAACAGAAAGATTGCTATATTATACAAAAGCAAGAAACAAATCTAAAACATATCAAATACGGAATATGTAGCAACAAGTACCTCAGGATCATCCAAAAGTCGAAGTGGACCAGAACTACGATTTAAAAGATCAACCACAGTCTCATTGTAGATCTCCAAAGCAGACATTTTCACTGAAAAATTTCTTTCAGGATGCTGCAAGAATAGTATAAAGTATCAAAACCAGCCTTCAAAACCAGATTACAATGACACATACTACAAGCTCTGCTGTAATATTATCAATTGCAGTCATTCAAAATTCACAAGAAAATAAGAAATTCAAAGTAACAATAACATCCAGCATACATATGCCACATAACCAATGATATAACAGGAACAGTCACAAGTAGTTAGCTTACATTTTGCATATACTGATATATGTCCTCAATTGCATATTCAGTGATTCCTCTCATAGTAAACGTTTTACCACTACTAGTCTGTCCATACGCGAAAATGGTTGCTGCGAGAAAGAAAATTTGAACTAAATCAACAAACATCTACTAAACTTCACCAGAATAAAGATATCTATTGAATCAAGCATATAATCACCATTAATCCCAGTAAGAGCTGATAAGGCCACATCCTTTGCCCCTCCTTCATAAACCCTCGCGGTCACACAAGTTGGACTGAACACTTTATCTGTTACCCAATGCAGTCATGTTAAATTAAGCTTCACATTTTATGATATCATGCATCATACCCTTGTTAAAAAAGTAAGAAATTACTAAAGGTAAAGGAGGAACAAGGCCTCTCATCATTGGGATTCTTGAATTCTACTGTCTCCTCATCTGGGCACTCCAATGCAATCAAATCATACATTGCTTGCTCCCTCGAGCTCAGCGGCCTTACTCGAACCATTACCATTATCTTCTCCTCTCGAACTTTCGTTCCCCCAGGAGTACATGATGATGTGGTTGTTAGGATCTTGGACAATGGTGTCTTGGGCTCTCCCATTTTCAACACCCAATTTCAAAATCCACTGCTCAAATAATTCAGGCATTTTATCAAACACTTAGATGGCAATCACAAGAATTGGGTTTAACAGACATTAAACAAGACTCTTGCATATATAATTGGGTAAAAAATCAATCTAATCAAGCTTCAGATTATCGATTACTGCTAAATTACTAATTTAGGCTGTTTCTAATTTAAGAACTACACTCATTTCAAGAAATCATCAAAAACCAAAAAAATCAAACATAAATTAGACAGCAAAATCCAAGAAAAAAGGAAACCCAGATTACAAATGTCGAATTAAAAGATAAGTTACTATAATTGGATCAAATATTCTAACAAAACCCAGAATTTATAAAAGGAAATGTGAACAGAATATTGAAACTTACCCAATTTGAAAGAGATTTTATTGCTAAATTCTAGAATCTTCTGCCTCAATTATTGAAAAATATGAACCAAAATTACGAAGAAATATGGAAAGTTGGGTATTTGAGGAGATGAATAGTAAAACGAAAACAAAAACAAAAATTTCAGGGAGTGAAGATTGAAGATGAAGAAAAATGTAACGGCTAGTTACGCTGTTCAGGTACTTTAATGTTTTGGCGGTATTTGCGGGTACCTGAAAAGAATACAACCCACTTTCAAATTTTATTATTTATTGCTATTTGTACAATTTTTTATTTTTTTTTTTTTTTGTTCCAAGGGAGTGACCGGAGCCACATAACGAATTAATATAGACGAGAGTTAATATCAAGTTTTGGACGTTAATACAGAGGCATTAATATACTCAAGAATTTGCTTTAGTTTATTATTAAATGGTGTGGATTCGTAATAGTTTTTATTTTTTTTGAAATTTGAATTAAAATTCGACCGTTGTGTGAGTTTGTGTAAAAAGAAAATGACATGTAAATTTGTGAAAATGGCAACAAAATTTAGAAGTTGGCCAAATTACTTCAGTTAGATTTCAATTTGACTAGAATTTTTAAAATCTAGAGTGTGTTGGAGACTTGGACTATGTGTCTGTCAAAATTCATCCCTTGCAATCTTCCTTACCATTTCTAAATTTTCAATACAGTTAAACACTCCTAAACTAATGACGAATAGTTTTGAATGTCTTTGCATCGTTTTGACAAAACTCCATTGATGTATGGTCACGAAAATAACAAAACTTGATTGGATCTGATCAAGATAAAAAAAAATCTTTTAAATTAAATCTACAACTAACGCTATGCTAACAAACACTTAGTTAAACAAATCTGGAAGACAAATTTTCCAAATTTGTATTGTTGCACACATGACAAACTACTAAAACTAAAGTCTCTCCATGATAAATATGAGGAAACTGGCTAAACCCTAGATGGAAAAACTGATTGTAATATCATATTGTTGCATGTTGGTGATCTTATCGTCAATAGTGATAGCCCTAGCCTATTGTTATCATAAATTGTTACTCGTATTCCTTAAATTTACTTAAAAGAAATTTGTTAATCAAGACTTAAACTCACAAGTCACAACGAACCTCAACTCCTACTTGCAATGTAAAGGATTTACAATCTAAGCTTATAAAGGATCTTAATTAGTTCAAATTTTGGTAGACACATACTTCCTCCCTTTAAAGTTGTATGCTTGTATCATATTGAGTTTTAATTATTCACATGTATTAAGTACTTTTGCCATATTTTTCTACTAATATATAAAAATATATTATCACGTAAAACATTAATTTTAAACTATCAACTTATTATAAGTTTTGCTTATTCATAATTAGAAATGATAACAATTAACGTTGTGCATTAGTTTTAATAATGAAGTGAAATTCAATAACACCAATTAGAAAACAGAGACTAAAGTAATAGTAGTAGTGTAAACTTTAAATTAATACTTAATAGGGCATTTGAACCCGCAACCAAGAGTACAATTAAGGAAGCTTACTACTAGCATGATTAAAGAAACATAAAACATAGGATTAACAATTGAAGGTAAGCAGGTACTATTGAAAAAGTTATTAAAATGGACGATCATGTGTAAAACAGAAAACATAAGATAGATTAATCTCAATACTCGTCCACACATGCATCTAAAGTATAAAATAAACCAAGATTGAAAATAAGATCAACTAACAAATTACTAGAATTTTGAACATATTTCAAAATAATAGGCGACTCTTTATTTTTACAATTATTTTCTTCTTTTGTTGAAAAATTATGGTGACACTAATATGTCGCATTAAATATAATGGCATTGGCGTGCAAAACGTGGCTTACCTAATGAGTGAAAACCCACCTCTAATAGACTTTAATAGATGGTGCGTGATATCCGACTCAAAGATCAACATTTTATTGTACTAAGTATAAATGTTGCTTAGTCATTATGAATGCTTGGCTAAAGGAATTAAGATTAGGGTGAACTGTTTTATTACCAAGGATGGCAAAGTGACTACCTACTTCATTTAGCATATTAAACGTGTTATGAACTTATGAATAACAATTACCATTGACATGATTTATCTATAATATAGATCTTATTTGGTAAAGAGCTTTCTGGAGAGCTTTACGCTTATTGAACTTGTTAGAGTATCAAAAGCTAATTTTATTGTTTGGTGAAAAGCTTGTTAAAGAGTTTTTTGGACTTAAAAAACTCTTTTTGAAAAAGCTCAAAACATGAGGTTTTTTTTAGAATTAGCTTATTGAACATTTAGCTTTTTAGTTGTTTCATATAATAAAAAAAACATCTAACCGTCGAAAAAGGTCGTTTTCCTGCAAAAACTTATACGACGACAATTTTCGACGGAAAACAGGTTGTTTCTGACGGAAAATTTCCGTCGGAAAATCACTTGTTTTATGGTAGTGTTTACAACTAGTTAATCATCAAATCGGTTAATATATCACTAAGTCAAACCAACTAATACAACCATGCATATCAATCAGTTAATCAGCTAATTACCAAACAGGGTCATAGTCGAACAATGCACTGTTACATTGAGTACGTACCAAATAATCCATGTAGATCGAGTAAACCTAGTGTTGTATGTGACAATAAATAGATATAATTCAAGTTTGATTAGAATTTAAAGTTAGCTTGTTGGAATTCAACTTGAAGAATTAGCTAGACGTGGATGAATATCTTGAACTATACCAATAATTCAATCATGCAATCGAATATACTCCCTCCGTTCACGATTATCTGCACCAAACGTCCTTTTTGCGGACTCCTAGGCAAAATTTCTTAAACAAGATTATTGAAAATTAAGAGAGAGAAGGGATAATTAATCCTTATAAAAAAACACACAATTAGACAGTGGAGAACATCCACCACTCACAGACGCAGAACCACCACGCCACCCCACGAACCACCAACACCCAACCCCACTTACGCAACCCCCACGAAACCACCACCAAAACCCACCACCCCACAAACCAAACCACCGAAACCACCACTCCACGAACAATTTTCTATCTTTCACGCACAAACCAAACCACCACCGAAACCACCACCCCACGAACCCAAACCACTGAAACCCACCACTGAAACCCACGACTCGAAGACCGCACGAAACCCAGGAACTCAGACCACCGTAACCCACAACTCAGACCACCGAAACCCACCACCAAACCCACGAAACCCAGATCTGGAATCGAAACCCACGAACTCAAACCACCGAAATCCACGAACTCAGATTATTGGTTGTGGTGGATTAGTGGGGACGGAAAGGGGTAGGGGATGGTCGGAGAATTGCGCGACGATCTGGGGTCTTGTCGCGGTGGTGCTGGTGCTCTGGCCACGAAACGCAAATCTGGAATTGAAACCCATGAACTCAAACCACCGAAATCCACAAGCTCAGATTATTGGTTGTGGTGGATTAGTGGCGACGGAAAGGGGTAGGGGATGGTCGAAGAATTGCGCGACGATCTGGGGTCTTGTCGCAGTGGTGCTGGTGCTTTGGGCTCGTCTGGGCTGGTGGTAGGGGCGGTGAAGTGGCTGGGTAAGGTGGTAATTAGTTGGTAAGCAAGTGTAATTAAAAAATGTTAAACAAAGTTAAAAATAAAAGTAAGGGTAAGAGGGTCTTTTTACTCTTTAAAATTTACTAAAAGAGGAAATAAAAAAATTTATTGCACATAATAGAGAGCACCCATTTATGACAAATGTGAGCGGAGGGAGTATTATCTTTTTTACATGTATCTACTCACGCCTAACCTCAACTTTTTTTAAGGTAGAGCTACATTTAATGTTATGTTATTACATTATTGCATTGATGTGTTACAAGTTGAAGTTTGAAATTATTTCCAATAATATATATAGAACTCCTATAAATAAGTGCACAATAGATAGCATATAGTATCCCATCCACATTATTATGATTAAGAAATGGAAACTCTACTTCAATACCCTCTCTTTATTTTTAGTTCTACCGTATTTTTCAACTACGTCATAAAATCCATGCAAAAACCAACATCAAAATTACCTCCATGCCCTCCTAAACTACCCTTTATAGGCAACCTCCACTTACTCTCTTCCAAAAATACCCTCCCCCACCACCGCCTCGCGGAGTTGTCTAAGAAGTACGGCCGAGTCATGATGCTACAACTCAGCCAAGTACCAACGATTATAGTCACATCCGCCGACATGGCTAGGGAGGTGATGAAAACTCATGACGCGGTGTTTTGTAACCGGCCTGAGCTCATGGTAGGTAAGGAAGTGTTCTATGATTGTTGGACATAGGGTTGGCACCTTACGGCGAGTATTGGCGCCAAGTGAGGAAGATATCCACCCTCGAGTTGTTCACCGTGAAACGAGTCGAGTCGTTTAGGTTCATAAGGGAGGAGGAGACTCTGAATATGTTGAAGGCAATTCGGAAGGAGGCTGGTTGTGCTGTTAATCTTAGCAACAAGTTCTTTGTCCTTGCTTGCGACGTTATGTGTAGGTATGTCAGTATGTGAATTGAATATACTCGTATGTGATAACTAACATCACCTCCTTCCTTTAAATTGGTTACGTTTTTATTTTTATTTGTTCCTTTGAGTTGGTTATATTTCTACCTCATTTATTCTAATTTCACACTTTTATGATTTTATCCTTCCTTATCGAGATTTTTTTTTTTGGAAGAAATCCCTCCCTATCGACATACATCACTGTATTTTCGACTTTTTATTATACAAATCTCAATTTGTTCTTGATTAATTCTTACATAAATCCATTTGTGATACTGTATTTATTTTAAAAAATGACAACCATAATTTTTAAAATTGAAAGGTTTAAATTTAATGATTTTTGATTTATTTTTAAATGTTAAATTCCATGATAAATTTTTTAATTTATTTTTCTGATTTTTAATTTAATTAATACATTAATTTTCAAAAAATTAAAGTGAATTCCTAAAATGAGGAAAATGAATTTTAAGTAATTTTAACATTAAAAAAAATAAAAAATTATTAATTTAAATCACAATCGTTCAATTTAAAAATTGTGGTTTAAATGACTATTGTAGAATTTTTAATATTTCTTACACATAGATACATTATTTACTTAGATTGAGCATATGAAAATATGCAAAGGTAATAACGATTAACGAACGTTACGACGACTTTGGATTTCAGAGCAACTTTTGGTACTAAAGGTAACGAGCAAGCAGCATTAAGAGCATATACAGCAGGAGTAACAGAAACTTGCACTGGATTTTGCCCAGCAGATGTCTACCCTTCGATTAATTTTCTTAAAACAATTAGCAGGGGTAAATTTCAGAAGTTTACTAAGGAATCTGATGGAATATTAGATCCTATAATTTCTGATCATCAATCTAATAAGAAACAGGGCAGACATGAAGAAGATTTGGTTGATGTTCTATTGAAATATCACAAGGACAACGTTGATGATCCCGACGATTTTCCATGTCAACTGATAATATTAAGGGAGTTATCGTGGTAAGTCCATCGTTTATTTTCTAAACTTAAATTAACTAGATTAGTGCTGGTTGGTTTGTTTGTTTGTTTTTTTTTTTTTTTTTTTTTAAATATAAGTTTCACTTTTCTATGTCAATCTGTCAACTTTTAAAATTGA